AAGGATGATTTAGTYATAAAAATTGTTATTTATGCTGATGTGGACACTTCTGTTAAGAAACATTAACAGTACACTAACRGAAGGTGAGTTTTGGACATAATAAAAATTTAACTGTGTACATTTATTTGTTTACTACTTTTACCACTGTTCTTTGAACATAATTATTGGGGTCTTCCTCTTTATTAAGTAGCTCATATAGGATGATTTAACTGTTNATTTATTTGTTTACTACTTTTACCACTGTTCTTTGAACATAATTATTGGGGTCTTCCTCTTTATTAAGTAGCTCATATAGGATGATTTAACTGTTAATTCTCCACTAGGGCTGGCTCCCCATACTAAATCTTCTCTTCTTCACTCAGAACAGTCCCCAATCAATACTCAAATCTTCAAAGAAACTTCGTTGCTGCTATATATGTTTCGTTCAAATTTTCAAATCATTTTTCTGGCAACCTAGTGGTCCCTTGTAGTGGATGGATCTTCTAAAACTAAACTACAGATTCCATCCTCCTTTATACCACATCCTTTGTGTGTTTAGTTCAAACTTAGGTTTTGAATGTTGAATGCATCATTTTTCCTGTTTGTTTCTTTCAAATAAAATCAAGATATTTTTTCAATCAATTGTTCTTTAATATTCACCTTGTTCATCTGTTTTACCGCTTTTGATTTCAACTTTCCTGTTCAACGRCCTATCTTTGGTTTGCTATAAATGGTTCAGATTTTCTCTACGCTTGGACCAAACTGATTTAACTCATTTAATCCATTTAGGTAAAATTTCTATGTTCTGATTGCGCAAATGCCTTCAACAATCTCAGGCTTTCGGCTACCATTGAAAACAAAAACAAAAACAAAAAGGAATTACACAATTGCTTCCTCTTTGTTGTTGTTTTTTTAATTTCTATGTTTTCTATAATTTCTATTATTTTTCTCTCCAATATTTTTATACTTTTTGTGTTTTCCTATAATTTTTGTTATTTTTCTGCAACTCTTATATTTTTATTGTAATTTTTGTTTTTTATAATTTCTACTTTATGGTTTTTTCTATAATTTCATTTATTTTTCTTCATTTTTCTGTGGTTTTCTATATTTTTCTCCTTTTTTTCTATCTTTGTTTTTTATTTATATATTTTCCTCTATTTTTTGCATTTTCTTTGTTTTTTTTCATAATCATTTTATATTTTTCCATGCAATTCATATATATCTCACTAAAAAGTTATTGGGTTGGTTTAAGACGGATTTGGGTTGAACCCAATCCTTTAATTTCATCTAAATGGATCACTAATGAATTGTGGGTTAGATGGTTTGAGTTGAAGTTCAACCCAAAACCAACCCACTCAAACCTTCCCAATTGCCACCCTTACTCGGCTACTCCAACCTTCTAATTTCTTTTTAACTTTCCTTAGACAATCCTAGACGGTAGCTTTGGAAATTCTACGTACCTTTTATCATTAATAGGGCTCCTAAGTATTTGCCCCTATCTCCTTTTCCTGAATTCTCGTAATTCTTGCTATAAATTTTCTTTGCTTTTGAGCGATGTTGTCGGAGAAGTAAATTTTAGTTTTTCCATAATTTGGGAGTTGGTAAGATCCTTTTGCAAAATTTTCCAATAGGTC